AGCCGACCGCAATGAAGGCTGGGGGTCAAAATGCATGTTACTACCAGTGCATGAAATGCTTTTCCCCCTTCCTTGCGAGATCGCTTTCCTGCCTCTCTTCTGGCTCAGGCTGCTGGTCCCGCTGCTGTTGACAAGCAAGGAGCGACAGCAGCACGAGGTTTGAACGGGAAAGGCTGCTCAGCCCCTTTCCAGATCCCATCCGGCTCTTGCAGGCAGGGCTATTATTCTCCGTAAATAGCTTGGTACTGCATTTCCTCTGGGCTTGTGAAGGCAAAGCAACGCAGAAGTTTGACAAGGAGACAATTCTCAATAAATCTCCAGGTTTCCCTCCTGCTGTAGGGAGGGGCTGCTGTCTCCCCCAGCCCAGGATTTTCTTCCCTTCCTCTCTCCAGCAGAATGTCTCCGCTGAAGCCTGGCAGAACACCAGCGTGGCCGTCCTGCCCGTGGTGGCCACCAACGCCACCTGCTCCGTCCGTGTGGCTGCAGTCACCAAGGGGGGAGTGGGACCTTTCAGCAGCCCAGTGGAGGTCTTCATCCCCGGCAGCGGTAAGAAGATGCCTGTCCCTGCCCGCGCGGCGTGGGTGCAGGGGATGGTGATGGGGAAGCACGCAGGGTGTGCTTTCCTTGCCCGGCCAAGGCCATTTGGCATCCCTCCATCCTCCTTCAGACGTTTTCCCCGTCAGCCAGGCTATCGGCCAAGAATCTGGGATCTTCAGCGTGCTTTGGTAGCCAGGAGAGCCTTGCTCTCCACGTGCAGCCTTGGTCCTCATGCCCTCTTCTCCCGTGTAACCCTTTGGGCTTTACTGGGTTTGGTTTCAGCCCCCAGGAAATCCTCCCCCAACCCCTGGGTGCTGCAGGCTGAGTCCTTCACCGGCTCCATTAATGGGATATTTTCTTAGGATTAATAACCTCAGCGCCCTCTTCGACTCCAGCCTCCGGGAACGCAGACTCCTTTATCATAGCCCTGGGCTTTATCTGCGGGACGATTGCTGTTGGGCTGATCCTCTGCTTGTCCGTGGTCATCCAGAAAAGATGCATGGAAACAAAATATGGGTAAGACGAAGGGAAAACAGCTTGCAGAGGTGCCCCGAGCTGGGCAGGTCGCAGGCACGTGGGGCGCCGGCAGGCAGGGAGGGTGGCCAGCAGCCCACGCTGGACGCGGGGAGAAGACTTCTGCCTCCAGTACTGATGTCATCCCCACAAATGGCATTTTTTTATGCCCGTGGTGAGGGACTGAGTGTATTTTTACTGCCGCGACGGTACTTCCCCTCCCTTCCTTAGCCTAGCAATTCACCTTTTGCTCACTATTCCTGTTTCTAAAGGGAAGTAAACTTGTGCAACTTGGTGTGGGAGGGTGGCCTCGGCGTTTTGACACAGAGGTGAGAGAGCAAAGATGTATAATATCCTGTGGCCTGTGGCCTAGAGAAACCCCTCCTGCCTCGTCACACGCCAAATCTGTCTTGGTCCGATGGCTAAGTGTGGCACCAGCCCTGCCGGGCAGAGAGACTGCCACTGGGCTGCATAAGGGGTGTTTTAATGATGTGGACAAAGGACTGTTTTCTGCTACAATAAGCCAACACTACTCACTCACCCCTGTGACTTTCTAAGTGGCATTTAACTGCCCTGTGCTACTGTTTTTGTTAAAGAATTGTGGTCCTAGCAGCTTTTCTTATAAGCGCTATCACTTGGGTGTCCACTGCCAAACTGGAAATGTGATATCGTTAAGTCCTTTGGAAGAGCATCATTTCAGTAAGGGAGCTTACTGAGCTGGTGAAGGAATCCCACCTACTCTGATCTCCCATGGCATCACCCCCATCCCAGTTTGGAACCTGGTAGTATGTAAGGATCCCTTTCCTAACTGGTGTAGCATTGTTGCTTTTTCCTTGCGATGCTAGCTCCCTGGGAGCTCTTGAGCATCCGCAAGATGTTTCTCGGAGCTGGACCTCTGCACGGCCCCGTACCAGAGGGGTTGCACAGCATCTCCCAGCAGCATGCCCATCACCACCATTTTGGGGCCACGGTGTGAAGCTCCCTTTAGTTTCTTTTTGGCTAACAGATGGGGGTTGCACATGCTAACGGAGAGCATTGACGGGCTGGAGTTGTGCATCGGGCAAGAGAAGAGATCGCTTTAGGAGGTAGATCTGGGCACCATACTCCTACCGGTACAGACTGCTCTCTGAGTAGGAAATGAGTATCCCATTTCCTCCCAAAAAAACCTCTGTGACTCACTCCTTGACAGATCAGGCTTGTTTATCAAGTGGCTGTTTTGCTCGGATGTTGTAAGCAAGGGCACCACTCCAGTAAGAGGGAAATGAAAAAAGTTAGCAAGAATGTGCATTATTTCCTCCTTTAATACCGATACCCCTGGTAGCGCTGTGGTCTCCCGCCCCTGCAGCGGCGGATTCCTTCATCGGAGGAGAAGCAGCCGCACGTGGCCCAGCAGGTTCTGTTTCTGTC